ATGCATCGGAATTTGTGCCTGAATCACGGTATACTGATGAAATACTAACTTTTTTGCTGGGTTTTTAATAACTTATCCGAGTAGTTTTCAGAATAGATATCTAAATGGGGTTCTATGTGTGTTGTGAATTCACTATGAACATCAGTTAGCTAGCTGGATCCGTAGAGATCTCTGCAAACATATAGTAACACATGCAATTCATCAAAACATTGCGATACTGTTTCACGGGTCTGTCTGCTTGAGCATAGTGTACCACAAATAGGAAAGTGCTGGTACAATGCAATGGGGACATCATCGATCGACATGGATTAGTTGGCTGAGCTGCTAATTTCATCATCAGACGATGCGCTGCGGAACATTTGTCGTGAACCTCGATTATACAAACACATGCCATGGTTCGACTAGACGAGTTCGGTAGGTTTCGTGAATCGGATGGGGCTTTGTTTGTTCACGAATGAACTGAACTGGATGATTCATTCGTGAGTGTGCTTAGTCGGAGATAATTGATCTTGTCCCTGATATAAACAGGAGAGTTGACATTTCAGCCACCTCACAGACAGACACACAACACAGCACCAATGCTGCAATATCAAGCCATGGACCGATTAGCCGGACTGGTGAATTTATGAGAAAAAACCTGAAACGTTGCGCCTGCCGAAACGATAGTTTAACGTCCACTTCAGCTTCGTGCACAACAGCACGGCGGTACTATTGGGCTGGTCCGTATACACGACCTCAGTGCATCCTACGTGGGGTAGTTTGGTCTAATATACCACCGTATCTCGATGCGCCAAGAAGATAGTTGACGGAAGTGAGGTAACTGATCAACAGGAGGCTCAGATTTTATTCCGTTTGAAGAATCCTTACGTCTGTTATTCAGCTTACTCTCAATTCTGGTAGCCGGCTGACCTAGGTGTGAAATCGCGTTAAGATATGCCAGCAGCGTGGCACAGTTACACCAGGTGGGATCTGATTTCCAAAGCGACTGTCACGCCATACATAGTTCATCATCACGTCGTACTGATAAACATAACCCTAGCACTGATTTAAAAAGTACAGTGCAATCCAGTATTTGTGGTGATGCGCGCACGCACTCTTTGTCCAAAAAGAGCTTCAGCGCCCTGATGACCTCTCCACGTGACCAAATGTATGAATGGAACTTTTAAAATTTAACCATGTTGCAAGAGGACAGTCAAGTCCATTTACGTAATTGCCTCTGGTCGAAAACCACCAAAGATGTCACTTTTTAAAAGGGACCTACTCACAAGGTTGCTTAAAACTCTTGCTTTTATTACGGGGGGCGAGACAACTACATCCAGGAGACATGAGCAGGTTTAAGACCTTGGACCAGCAACTAATAATGGTTTGTCGAGAAGGGGTCATTAAACAGAGCAGTCAGAGTCAGTTCATCGACGCTGACAACGCAGTCTTCCGAAATCCACCAACTTGAGTCTAACGAAATTTTAACTCCAACATTTCAGCTCTTCGGTCACCGGGTTCATGAAAGTTCTTCAAGGTCAACGTTGGATATCTTCAGACAACAATACGTCAGGGGCACAGGAAAAATAACTAAAACAATCAACTTTTGCATGAAGTAAAACTTTGAAGAGTGACTTTTGTTAGTTTTTCACCGATAGAAGGAGAGCATATTTCTGCGGAAAAACTTCAGGTTCCCGATGCTGCGAAATGCGCAGTACTCATTAAGTGACTATCTCCCAACTGAAACCCGTCCAGTACATAGAGTTGCACCCTCTGGGGAGATCAACTGATGGGTCTGATAGAAAGCGGTTTCTTTTGACAGGATCTTAGGAGTTTAAAAAAAGCTTCAATAGTGAGGACAACTGGAACCACACGGCCAGGTCCTGGAGATGGGCAACATGGAAGTATTAACCAAAATATCGCTTGATGGTGTCACGCCGCACATGATAGTTTGCCAAAATCTTTGTTATCACTGAGGTTTGATCTATCTTTAGACACCCCTAATGCTTAAGTTCTCTCCATTTCGGTGAAACAGGCCGCAGACAGCACCTGATTTGTTCCATGGGAAAAGACCTGGTGGTCAACGACTTGAGATCGCTTCCTGAAAAAGGTAGGTTAGAGGGCTGCTTTGTGGATTTTTTCATCCCCTCCCCTCTAGACAGCTAGTTGCTCCAAGGCGGAAAACAGGCCCTAACATCGTTTCTCAGGCAAGCCAGTCCATGAAGGCCGTCGAAAATTGGTCTCTTGAGGACGCTGCATCTTTTAACAGTTTGGCGTTCCAAAACCAAACGACTAGTCCATACATAGCGGGAAAATATAGCATTAGAAAATATTCTAGCAGTACCCCAACCGTTTCTCTGGTATTCGTGTCATTGGTCTGATTACTAACAGATGCTGGGACGTGGGGCGGCCCAGTGCACAAAGTTTGCTTTCTTGTCTCTGCCGAGAGAAGACTTTGTGCCATAGACACTGAGTGACGTTTGTCTCTTAAAGCTTATTGATTTCAGGATAAACTCACGAGATTGGAAGTGATTACCATGCCGCTACTGCTTAATTCGAGAACCCAAAGCTCATCGGTTCGGAAAAAAGCGAAGCCAGTCAGCTTACACCTACCCGAACTTAATACGAACCGCCGACCAAGAATTTTAGGCTAAACAACGTGAAGGGTTACCCTTTTCCCGATGCTGTATTGCCTCGGTACCTTGCAATATGGCCATAAGTCAAAAGTTTACGGCTGGCGTAAGACCAAATCTAGGCCCGAATGACCGTTGAAATGTGTAACCCGCCTCAGTGCCGCACCGGCATCTGTGCACATTTTGGTAAATGGTACGCTGCTTCGCTAGACGTTACTCACGTTCTGCTTATCTAAACCTACACACTAGTCATGGATCTTCTCAGACCGTTTGGCCGTTACGCTGAATAGTAGGAAATGCTTGGTTGTGAGCATCGATTGAAGAACAACCCCGCAGTCTTGTGATCCAGGGTATACACAGCAACTGACGTAGGCTAGTAACTAATGTCTAATTGAGGCACAAAGTGACGACCGGGACGATTACGGAGATGAAATCCACTGTGCATGGACACTGCAAGAGTAAAAGCCGTCCAGTAGTTAGCCTGACAAAAACTCTTGGTCCTAGTTTTTCTAAGAACGACCGGACTGAAGAGCAGAATTGCGGTCACATTGACGCGCTTCGTCATTTTATGTACTGTTGCCGGTCCAGGTAATGATAAAAATAATCGTTCAGCCACAACAATCTTTCGGTGCCTGGCTGCCGTGCACCAGAAGGAAGCACGAAGGCTGAGATACTGTCATGTTGCCTAAGCCTAGGAAAGAGCAGTCAAGATACCAGGTTAAATACCCTTTAGTAGGGGGTTTATAGTTGGGGAACACCAGCATTTAAAAGTAGTTTGTTGACAATTCAGTGCATGAATATACCAGGGTCAGAAGAACTAATCATACAAAAATAAGTATCCAAGCAAGCGATCTGTAAGTTGAGATTTAATCAGGACACATTTCTGAGTAACTGTACGCCACGTTTCTCCTTGGAGAGAGGTCTCACCTGACGAACCGTCAAGTCGATTCCATTATGATCAAAAAAACGAAAGTGCCACCGTACAAGAACTGCTTATTCCGGGGAAATTCCACTGCTTACGTTTCGTCCCAAATGTAGTTACGATACTTCAAACACGGCACCTAAGGATCGGACCAAATTCAGTGATCCACTGAATTAATGACTCGCAAAGCAATACAACGGAATTTGAAACTATTCGCCAGTTTTGTCATGCTATATCACTCTTGCTATTAGGCTTTCAGTTACTATAATGAGAGACGGTGTTGAAAAACTTTCACGGCAGTGGGAAAATCAATTTTGGGGTGAGATAAAACGCACAACCACTTCTCACAAGGTCGATGAACATCAAAAGCAGGAGATTCATCTGGCTCTGTCATCTAGATAATTGCATTTCGTTAAAAGCACTACACGTTCGATTCGTCAGCCACAGAAGCTCAGTACCCGAATTCGTGATTTCAGCGTCAATCTGCCTATTCAGCCGGAGTATAGGCCAGCGGTCAACGAACCTGTTTTTACAATTCCTGCTGTAATACCAGAACGCCTCGGTGTCCCCAGTGAACACAGAGAAAATGCGGTAACCAAAACATTAAGAGTCATTGTCACAAGATTATCAACACTTGTGTTGTTTATTACTCAGGCAAACAACCTGACTGAAGACATTGCTTTTAAAGAACTGTCTGTACATATTGGCCAACAGGTTCGTAAATATCCTTCTGAGGAAATTTGTTTACGGTGAACCGGCAGAAGTCAAGACCTATGCTTCGAAAAAACCACAGACGTGCGAAACTCTAACAACTATCCAAGTGTACGAATGTGTTCAGTGGTGTTGTGGGACTGACAAAATGGACATCACTTCATTGAGATGTAGTAATTCCGCCTGCTCATATACATTATTATTTGTTCGGCCAACTTTACTGGCTATTGATTCGTCGTCGACGGAGAATGGGCGTTTGTGTTGCAGTCTGTTAGTCACAAATCAAAACAAAATAAGGGTTCAGCCATGGCACCTTATCGGTGTACGGTTGGCGTGTAACTCGAAGGAAGCACTATGGCTTAGATGCTGTTAGGTTACCGAGGCCTAGAAGGGAGCAGTCGCAAACCAGTATTGGGTTCGAAACACAGACCTGCCGATAATTTAGCTTCTCGCCATAACCATTGAGCTATCTAGAGCTCTGACAATCCGGACCACCAGAGTTCTTGGTGGTGTCTACCTGGAACTCAGGATTTAGATTAAGTGAATGGGTGAAGCTTTGAGGTGAAGTAGAACACCTCATAATGAACACTCGTAAAGCTATCGGCAAAACATTCACCTGAGTATTAGAATGGTCGTAAATAGGGGCCGCAAAATCACGTCAGAGAGCAAATCCATAAAACAAATCTCGACTCTTACGATCCAGTCCATACCAAGAAAGTAGACCACAGAAAGTATAAATGAACCTTCCCCCAAGTATAACGAACAGGTTGAACGATATCCAGGAAATAATGCCTTCCTTCAAAGTACTAGCAAAAATAAAAGCAACAAAAGTGGGAAGAAGGAAACGATAAACGACGTTTGGAGGTAAACAAGCAGCTGGCTTGCTAAGGCCAACGACTTCGAACAAGCGTAGCGCTCGGTGTGAATGCGGACAAGGTAATGGACCGGTTTCAGAGCAGGACAGAGAAACACAGTTGGGAAAAGGGTATACAGGAGCAAGCACGTACGACCAAGATAACCTGAGATAACCGATCTCACAAGAATCAATCGTAGTGAAGGCAACGGAATAAGTGGAATGGTGGTAGAGCGAACGGGAAAGGAGGTAAACCATGTAGTACAATCGAAACAAGACCATAATCTAATAGGTCAGAAAGTAGTAACCAAGGTAAAATACAAGTCCAAGTCAAAGGTCACTTATCTGAGCCAAGCTACGTTGAACAGCCAACAGAGACACAGGCTCCTTGGGCGCAGAAATGAGCAGATAAAAAAGAGGGAATAATAGAAGCCGATTGATGGCCGGCGATAAAAGTCCCAGGTTAGCTGGGAACCGGCTCAAGGGGCTGAATCTGGACAATTGTGACCTGCTGGAAAATCTCTTTCGCTTTCATTCTTCACCCTTGTGACCTCGAAGAGAACCACGTTTCCGTTGCTAAGACAGGGAGTGGGAAAAGTAAAGAACAGCAAAGGAACATGTAAACGAACAAATCCAGTATAAGATAAACTAATGGATGGACATACCAGAAAAGACGTCAAATTAATGAATCACGTGTATATGTGTATTTGTATGTAAATTCAACGAACAATGACGGGTCGGTCGGATGAAATAAATCTTGGACAACCGTTTTGTATGGGCCGGTTACAGAAGAGTGCTTTCCTTACTCATAGCTTTCGCAGCACACTACTTCCATCAGCGTGAAATTCTGAAGATAGCTTCTCATCGGGATCTTCATAACAAACAAAGCATATAATGTGGTAAGACCTAGCACGTTTGGTAGCTCACACGAGAACAAACTGAAAATTCCCACGGATGAAACGAGCAAGTGTACAAATCTGATAAACAACTTGAAACCATCTATGAAAATAAAAATTCGATGCCTGTATGTGAACAGCTTATTAGGGCGATTCCAAACTACATCGTTGTTGTCTTCTTTTGCAGATCTCAGTCCTCAGTAAAAGAGCTTCCAGTCTCATCTTTGCTGTTAATAAGTTTCAGGTGGTCTCGACGTAGCACAGTTAGTGAAGCGATGGACTGAATTAGCTACAAAAACCGTGGTCACTGGTTCTTCGGGCCCTCAGTAGGTAGCAAGCACAGATGAATCCGTTCTTACTCAATCGTTGCTGTAATGCGGGACCACTTCAAAAAGGGAATGTATTTGGCCGTTACATTGGACAAGATCATGTGCACAAGGGGTTGAGATGCACGTTGACTAAACTTACAGTGATCCTAAGAAGGACAACTGGACAGTAAATCAACGGAAGCCAGGGACCAGGAAGCACCAAAGCACCGATAGCCCTAATTATACTATCAGCCGCATTCTCGTCGTTCGTCACCTGTAGGATTACTGAAACGACTTGTTGTCACTCACCATTCCGTCACCTGCTCGACATTCAGCATACGTCACCCGATCCTGCATCACGCGGAAAAGATGAACGTATGTCCGTTATGCTGATGGTAGCTATGTCGTTTCAGGGGCGCTACGTGAATCATCGCGCTATTGAATTCAATCTAGCACCAGCACATCATTCCTGACTTGGTTTTGGCGGACGGCTGCAACCGTTCCTCGACGCATGGGATGCATTCACTCGTTATACTTGTCAATTTTACCATTCCAGTTGGCGTGAACACAACTTTATATCGTTACTTTCGTTTGGGTGTTTCCGTACATCGTTTTTTGAAATTTGGGGATCGTTGGAACATCGTGTGAAAAGCATGGGGACATCATTCTATTCGCCGCAACTACCAATGTACTCTGCGGTATCACCTACACAGATTGCAATCGTCGAGAAAGTCAAATTCGTGAGAACTAAGTCGAGTTTCACCCTGGTCGGAGTTGAATTGATCCCATCTCCGATTCGCGATAAATGCCGGAACTGCGTCACTTCCTCCGACATCAACAACGGTCATTATTCTTGATATTAAAGTCCCGCTAATCGTCAAAAGCTACGACAGTGTCTGGGGATGGAGACCGTTTTTTAATCCTTGTCCGTTATGGGGGTTTTGTATGACCCCCTCAAGGGGACGGATCGATGGAAAACGTCCTGCTAAGTCCACCACATCCAAACGGTGTCATGCTTCCTCTTCAAGTTCGTAATCAACATACTGTTTGAGATTTTTTATTTTGCTCGTAACACCTCGAGGATCGAAATGCCATCTAGACGTTTGATAAGACACTGAATATGCTGAGATGTTACTTTTTTTTGGATCAGACACTTCAAAAATGCAAAAAAAAATGCTGCATAGGCCGACACGTGCTTCATACCTGCGAAGTGTAGGAAGCTACGGCAAGACGGGTAGATCAATCCGAAGTTTCATGCTTGCAGATGAACAGGTTGATTCTCTACATAAGCCGTGGGAGACTGTCGAGAGATGAATTCACGCTCCGAATGGGGAAGATCAAGGCAGCGTTTGCCAACCACTGACATTCGTGGATACGAAGTGATATTAGTTTAGTTGTCGGGATAGAGTGTATACTGCTGCGGTGCGACCTATCTTACTTTTTTAATCAGAAACGTGGACCCTCACGCAGAAAACCTTTGGAAGTTTTATTCGACCATTGGTGCCTCCGAAGCATTGGCTGGATCTAGTGAAAGCACCAAACCAGTGATAGTGGGGTAGATCAGACGATTTTCTGGAAAACTGACTCTGTATGAATGAATCGACTGGTCACACTCGATAGGTTAGGCTGGTTGAGCTGTGTTTCGTACACCAGAAGACCGTTTGCCTGGCCTGCCCTTCTTCGCACAGCAGTGCATTGGACGAAGACAACCCAGGGGACAGTCAGTTCATGACTCGGCAACGGAGCGTGAATACCTTACCAGCCAACTCAGGCACGTTGGTAACTTCCGTTTCCCCGAATCAGGGTCTCAGAAGGCACACATAAATTGTTAGTGACTTTTATAGATATGGCTGTGTCACGCAGCCAATGACCGTTCTGCATCAAAGCTATTTTCTCCATTTATGGTCTTGTTCAGAACTGAATAATTGGACGTCAATGAACCGATTGGATGCAGATGTCATTCGGTGCAGGCGTCGTATGCTGACGAAGCTTTGGCAGCTAGGAACTGCACGCTGGTACACGAATTTATAGCTGAGTAACTGAATGAACTGACCGTTTATACATTTTTATGTGCGCTGTGTTTTGCTGATGTTCGGTTCCAGTAAACGACCTAGTCCACACCGGTCTTACTGGACATGAGCGGTACCCACGCCGACTGAACCGGCTAGTGCTGGGCTCTACAAGTCCTTGCTTTTATATAGCTGACGCTTAAATACATACTCGTACCACGGTCCTAGTTTCCCTACTTCTTTGAACATTCGGCACAAGTTGCGGTTATATCCTTAGCTGCAACTGGGTCGACCGTTAGGTCAGGCAATAATACAGTTAGAACTCGAGATACCTCAGTGATTAAGGCGCGAACGTAACGTGGTTCGAACCCAAACCAAGCATCTCGAATGATCCTGTTTAGGCTTGGGCAAACTGGCAGCACCTCAGCTGTTGGGTTTAATTTGGGTGGCATGACAGCTGGGCACCGAAAACGCGTTATAGCTCAACGATCATGTGTTATTATTTGCTTAGTATCGAGTCCTGCAAAGACCGTAAATATTTGTCTCGGTTGACACTAAAAAGTGCGTGCACCTGTACAATTGACAGGTAGTTTCTTACTTTACTGAATCTGCAGATTTACTTTCTACTAGGCTGGTTCACTGATGAGATCGGCGAAGTAACGGATGAGTAACTGCCACGAAATATGGTTTCCAAATGCCCATCATCGGACAAGGACATCATTAGCTCATTAAAATGCTTCTACATAACATTTTCGTAGAACTAAACTGACATGACAGACTCCATCCGGCCGACTGCAACTGGCCTGCGTGGCGTCGCAGGGGGCTGCGAACCAGAATATGAACTTAATGAACATTAATAACTGCTTCTGTCCGAGGTGCATAGAACGAGTCGAGAATACGTTAGACTGTCAGCATGATTCTTGGTTCGATCTCACAGATACTCGTTGTTATTCCGCGAAAGCGTTTACGATTAAAGATTGATCTGATCAATTAACCTCGGGGCCCTTGGAGACCTCATTAGAACATGCCACTTTAGGTTTGTTCATCAGTGAGTCTACAATGGTTGCTTTCACGTCCGAACAAAGGCATCCAAAACAATTAGGACATCGCCCAGAGTGAATCGTTTGCGATTAAATCGCATCAAAGCATCACTTTTCTAACAATAATCCACCTAAATAAGTACCGAATATGATGACAATGTACCATTTGAGGTGGCAGTTTTTGGAAATAAGTGGAAAAATCCAGACTAAAGGTGAAAACTGAACACTTACTAATAAAAGGCGAGAGATTTATCCGCACATGAGGAGACACCAGAGATTTTTTATTAATAAAAGGAGACACACCGAACAGACTGAAGCAGTTATCAGGTGCGTAGCGATAGTCATGCCGCTGTTACACCTCAATGTGTACGTGGAGTGGGCTATAGCCAGAAACAAAGAGATACGGGTCAATGAAGAATCACACGCAGACTGGAACGACCCTGGACACGTGGATATGAAGCACCTTACGCACGTACTGACCATGTGGCAGGTGACCAAATGGTTAGCAGGATGAAATTCCATCCTAACTGTCCACGTTCCAATTCAGGCAAGACGAACTTTACCCCTACAGGGATACACAATTATGAAAACGACAGACAGATAAAGCCGACAGTGATTAGTGCGAGATGCTCTTGCATAAATATCCGCCGGATAAACTATAGATCGAAGCCCGTCTTGGATAAGGTAAGGGAACAGAAACAACCGTATATTGAGAAACGAAGAAAAGCTTACCCACTAGAAGTAGCCTGAATTAATATCATGCTTGGCCATTTTGATTCCCCTAAGGAATCAAGAGTTATAGCGGATAGATCAATTTGTACCAAAAATGCTTCCGAAGGAATAACGCAACGGGATGTTTATTTGCTATGTCGCCTATACGAGAGGAGGGGAGGCACTGTAATACTCCAGGTCGCTAGAGTGGCATCCGAAAACAAAGTTGAGCAGCGCACTGTAAACCGAAAATCACCTACTTCTTCAAGTTCTCGTTTGGTCTGTTCCTCCAGAAGACGAATGTCTTGCATCGTCATCCCGTACCACCGGTCCATCCAGCAAAACACTTGTCTGTGGAAATTGGCAAACAGTCGCCGTTCTTGCTGTTGTCGGGATAGCATAAAAAGAGGAAAAAAAAAGTGTAAACCAAGAGCTATTTTTATGTTAAGGAGGGGGGCGAATGAAGTTTACCGCACTCACGTACATTCTGGGGAGAAGCTCGTAAAGCCGGAGGTTGCAGCGGTTTCAAGCCTGGTGCAAGCGCTCGATTAGGCTCATCGGTCTAGAGAAACACCTCATATTCAAGCACTTGGGACTTGTATGCCTTGTCCGACTCTGCTCCATGCGAGTGAAAAAATTGGATACGATCTCGCATCGAGACTTGCCTGCCGACAAGCCTCCAGAAAACAGCCCTGTTGGACACAGTCACGCGAAAATACGTCACATGAGGACCTTAGTAAATAGCAAAAAAACAAGAGTAGGATTTCGACTCGTATGCTGACGATCCTGGTTCTTTCCGATCATATCATGGGCAGAACGGTGGAAATCTGATCGTATAACTTGACGGATGGGCATCCGATTTAAACAGCTCCGAAACGGTGGATGAAAAGTTCCTGTGTTCCATCTATCTATACCCACCTAATAAGTCTTAATACAGACGAAAGCGTTCGTGTGGCTGGTGTGGCAGCCGACCAAAGATTAACCCTGAATATTGAGACAACCCTATACGGTACAAAAGGGCTACAAAACGGCGCTCGACCAGCTGACTCGATTCTAGCCGCTGTCCTGAGCGAAGCGACCAAGCGAACACCCGTTTTCGTCCGTAGCTCCCTTCGAAATTCCACACACGGATAATTTCCAGCCAGAATATGCAGAATCACGACGTACTTAAAGAAGTATATTAAATGCTCAGAAGCAAAGCAAACACAAACGCCAGAACGAGTTTTGTGTAATTTGTGCGGCCACACACTTCGAAGCTCGTCATGCATAATTGCTGTGGCACATATGGCTCGTAGCGCATGCTGTATCGTTGGATGCCTTATTTCTCATCATCCATGTAAAGTTACCGCTTTCGATCAGTTAAAAGTCTGGATGTGACCTCCACTCCTATTCGATCAATTTAGGATTCCCTATAAAAGCAACTCAAGCCTGGTGCGTCCCGTGGCTTTGAAGACTATGGTCTGTGCACGCCGACAAGGGGAGATATCGATTAGTTTGGTAAGATATTTGTTTGTTTGCAAGCACCATTTCTCCTTTCAACCTAACAGCTATCCCTACGAACACGGATTAAATAACGAAAGCTTTAAAAGTATTTGGCGATTACTCTTCTGAAGCTCACCCCAGATATAAGAAAACCATCCCGAATAACTAAAGCTAGTTGTACGCATCACTGGAAACAATTAACAAAAGAGTTTGCCCATGTCACATGCTGGTCGACCAAAACACCGAACCTCACCAACGCAACTCGGAGCCTTTATAAGCGCAACTCGCTCAAAAGTGACCAGTGGCACTAACGGGCGCAGTTTCCCTGGAATACTGTTGATAAAGACAACATAGTGCTTCATGGTCATTCAGTATGAGTTTCCATAGCAGTGCCTGACGCAGTTCGAACTGGTTCGAGCGTTTTTAAGGTAGAGCACAAAGGTATGTTGACAATCTAACAGCGTGCACCTGGAGTGCACGGTCACACATACCTTGCTTTGAATCTCATCGGTCGCTGTGCGCCACATAAACCCAAAAAATCGCGCCATTATGAAACGAATGAAACGATATATGTGTAGGTTTATGGATAAACTAACAGGAATGTTCACTACCACACAAAAGGCAAACGAAGACAAACTGCAACCTATGGAAACAACCGAGGAATAGAAAAAGCTGAAGCGATGTGCATTTTCTGAGTACTACAGTACTGGGGATGGCGGAAATCTGCAGATTTTCAATGCCGTCAAAACCCTTCGAGGTAGCAATCTGGAAAGGGGAGAACTACGGTAGAGTCCTCTTAAACAGACAGTCATTAAAATGAATTTTGAACTGCGGATCATAGAAGACGCTGTAAATTCCACAGTAACTAATCTTTAGACTTCTGTCAGAATGCTTCAAAATAGCCGTACGACAATCTCGACAAGAAACCGTGAAAAAATACCAGGGTATCCTAACATGAAAAAGGAATTGTTCTGATGCTACATCCAACTCACACCCTCTTTGAAGCCTAACTGAAGGAAATGGCCAAACATTGGCTGGTTCAACCTGTGCGATGCTTTCTTCAGCCCCAGTTCCACCTAAGTCCTCGTTGACTTAGTGGTGAAAAATCACGTGCCACCTCCCAGCTGAAACGATCAACTGTTTCGTAGAGGCGTCAATATTTAAACATCGCTGCTTGTGGCTTAGGATTGGTTTCTGTCAGCTGGTGAAAATCATCCATGACATGACATACAATTTTGGGGTTGTATACCCAATAAGCTTGATGACATGATTGCATTGTCTTCAAAACCTCATTCCAGGAGGACGATTCGCTGAATCACTTGTTTATGGGTACCCAATGGAAAGCCGAATCTCAAGCTGGATCTCCAACGGGTTGAGTATTCTTGGCTGAAATCCCGGTGGATTCAATTTGGGAAAAAAACCGAAATATCGAGGCTTAAAAGGCATCCATCATCATGATCAGCTGTAAGAACCACGTACTTGTAGTGGTTGTAGCTCCCACAGTTTCGTTCACCGATGATTTGGAGAGGTGGGGTAGATAGCTGCGCATCGGAGGCGGGAGCTGATAAATTGGTGCGGTCTGGTTTCAGTTTTCACAGTGTCACCAACCTACGAGGGCAGTAATTTGGCAAAGCGTGAGCTCAGAGGTGCCCTGAAACATGAGGGACGCAACCAAGCTGCTTTCAAGTGGGCACACCGGTAGAGCATAAAGCGCAACTAAGTTCAACAAGTATGGTGCTGCAGTAGTACATCACCATCGGCAGCATAACATCAGTGTACAACATTGATGATTCGATGCCATACACACACTGAATGTGCCGTGGTAGGTTCGTCTCGGCTAAATAGGAGTGTAACTCTGTACATGCTCACATGGCCAAATAGAGGAAACAACTGGGCGTCTAGGGAACGCTTTGACAGACAGTCATTATCGAAACGGAGGATAGCAAACGAGCAAACGTCACTGAACACGCACATGGTGACGAATTGCAGGTGTAAAATGGTGCAACGGAGGGGGTTCGTAGAATGCTAATTATGACCCAAGCATACAGTGCGATTTATTGAGTTACCCATTCATAAGGAGCGATCACATTGAATCTCTCTCAAAATTGCTGGTCCCTACATAAACAGTGGTGGCTCGTTTGAACCAAAGTGCCTTCAAGACAAAAACGTGCGATTGATTCGTTTCCAGAAGTGCCACTTGATCGTAGTACGCCTTCGTGAGCAGCACTACCAAACGATCGTCCCATGGACGGGGGCGAGATGGCCCAAGTGGTAAGAGCGCGAATTTACTGACCGGAAGGTCCGTAGTTCGAATCCGACCTCCGCCTCTCAACTTCCCCTGTATAGGCTTGGGCAACCTGGCAGTATTCCACTCCTCGTGCTTTCCTCGGGTGGCATGGCAGCTAGGCACCGAAAAGGTGCTACAGCTGAACGCTTTCTTTCTTCTTTCCCATGGACGCTCGTTACAAAGTGATGGTCATAACCGGCTTTTGTCCAGAATGGTTAGTGAGATGGATGAAAAGCTCTTGGGAAATTAACAATGTGAATCCAACAGGCTGTGCTCGGACCTTGTTACTAATCGTGCTGCATGGAGAGAAGCGATCCAGCTTGTTCTTGGAGCCTTTCTGGGAGAAAGTCACCGTAAAGCAAGTAAAAGTAAGATGGGTTCATGCGGCAGCCATCATCATCGAGGAAACAGATTCGGACAGTTCGGTGAATGTCATATCTGAAGTCACAGTTGTGTGCTCATGACACCAAATGTCAATCTTCCTCCTACACAATAAGCACTTCTGACAAGATTGAACCACTGAAGTGACCGAAGTGAGAGCTACTGACAGTCTTGGAAGGAACCCTGAATTAAGCTTCGAAAAACGAGAACAACGATAACTTACACGCTGGATCATGCCCTCCAATCGTCCTTGCAGTAGAGGGATTTTGCACTCACAACGCACCAACTTGTAGCAGCACATGAGAGGTCCGGTATAGCCGTTCTGCGAAGTCAAAAAAATTGATACAGTAAAGTTATTGTGGAAAATCTGATGAACGGGTATTAGAATTTCACTGAACTGTTAGAGCATATGGATTCTCCGTAAAGAGACAGACCAAATTTACAGACTGCTATGAATTAGATGACTAGTGGCTGTAGAACCTGCTGAGAGGCCAACGATAGATGACGGAACTTCATATAGCAGACGGAGATCAAGCCTTGACAACTACAACTGACGTTCACACAATAACTTGGGGTATGAAATCAGGCAGTTCGATATAGCTCACCACACTGGAAGCCACCGAAATTGAGCGAATTTGTTCATATGGTAAACATGACGTCAGAAGAGAGTAATGGCGCATCAGTTGTTGAGATAAGTGTAGACGAAGATGTCCGTCCTCACTAAAACAGCTAAGGCCACTTTCACTATGATCATGCTGCGACAGTTCTTGTTGGTGACTGATTGGCCCACACGTCAATTCTTATCGGAACATGACTGCATTCGTACACCTGGTTTATCAATAATTATACGAAAGACGTCGTCATGATCACGTCGGTTCAGTCATGACAAAATAGCAGCTGCAAACACTTCGTAAACCGAAAACGAAAAGTTCGTGAAGTGAAGTGAAGTGAAGTGAAGGGTGAATTATGTATTAATGCGTAGAGGCTGTGAACGTGCAAATAAAACTGGAAAGCGTAATTTTAATAGTTCTCTAATGCATTTGGCGACCCAAAACAATTGCCGCACGTGGAAGAGGTATGTGCTAACGAGCGAGCACTCTCGACGTGTTTGTGACTGACGGAGATAGCAGATGAGCCAGCTAACATCGCCTAAGTCAACGGGACTAGAAGTTAGGGTTCTGAAGAATTTCAAGCAGAGGCATATCAGAGCAACGCCACTTACTCCAAAAGATTTACACGCAAAAAAAACATGAAAAGATTGCATGTCAGTAAAACGCACACTTGCGGGTCTTGAGGGTTGTTTATGCGGTCGTAGTGAAAACATCTGTCACCAGACAGGTCACTCTTCCTTGATACCGAAAATAAGTAGAGAGTTTCGGTTGTCCTAACACATACAAGCACGTGAAAGTTCGATTAACAGCCTGAAATATTCTGTACTTTCTGATTGGTGTTTACGGTAAGGATGTTACAAGTGTGGCTGACTTTTTCTATCGAAATTTTGATCCTCCGTGGTTATGCCTTACTTCTAGGTAAGTCGGCTCAACTCGCACCTCTGAGTTCCAATGGTTAGAAGTTCGGTAACAATGAAGCTTCCTGCATCATTCTCCCTTTTTTACACTTGCCGATACGATTGTGAAGACCTGCTCACGCATCTACAGACTTTGATAAACCTATGTAATGACACAGTCTAACCTGTGCGTTCAGATAAAGGTACAACAAGTTTAATGGACATAGGCCGGAATTCATTACTGATTACCGCAGTAGTCTGAGGAAAGTGCGGACACCGGAGACAAGGTATCCCATATTAGGCAGACTTCCGTCGTAATGCATCCGTAGAACAGCAGTCAAAGTCCCAGCGACTCATCCATTAGCTAAACAGTGGGGCATCTCTTGTGCTGCGCATTCAGTTGAACAACACATAGGTGAGATATTCATTCAACATTCAATTTGCAAATCGAAGCCTAGATACTAGATTTAGCTACATAAGCGCGCAAATCTGAAGAGCGACAGTTTCAATAAGTGACTATGACGTTGAGGCCACAGTTGTCCTTGAACCGCAGAGGGAGCTTGAATCACTGAATGGCGATTACTCATCACCCTAGTGGGTAGTACTGTGTCAACGAAGAAAGCAGAATCTTTGGAAATGCTTCATTCTGCTGTTAGTTATAAATGGCGATTATCACCCTAGTGGGTAGTACTGTGTCAACGAAGAAAGCAGAATCTTTGGAAATGCTTCATTCTGCTGTTAGTTATAGCACGCACCC